CATTTCGAGCAGTTTGTTTTCATGCCTATCAGCGTCACTCATCATGAAGGGGTTAATATCCAAAATGGTTCAGTCATTCTAAAATAAACTTTAACAACCAAGCTGTGGAAGCATAACACCACACCTAGTAATAAAAAGAAAGTGATGGAGCTCATGAGACCTTACCTGAAATCTTTCCATTATTCTCAACTACGTAGCTATCTATAATGTTATCCTGTGGGAGGAACCAATGCAAAAATTCTTCTCTGCTGAACACTGGTGCCAGATCAAACTTCTTCAGGTAAGTTTCTAACAAAGTGTGGGCCTGATCTACGTCCTCCACTTTCAGTCTACGAAACCCTGTTGTTGCAGTTTCCGTTGGCAGCCGGTACAGCTTTAGTGTCCGTTGCATGGTCATGTTCTTACCCAAGTGGGAGAACTTGACATCAATGAGCTTCTTTGGATTGAGGGAACGGTGCCAGTAGCGACAGGATGCAACTGGCTTTGGCAGTGTTACACCAGCAGTATAAACAGCCTACAGGAAAAGGGAGAGGATAGTTAAGAATAAAATGAGATTAAAAAGATAAGCTTGAAAAGAGACAAATTCAGACAGGAATTAAAAGACAAAATAGTGAGAAAGCGTGACAGAGCATACTCATCATTTTATATGTAATATCACTGTGATCACAACTTTAACTTTCATGATTTTTCTATACAAGACGCAAACTGATTCTACACTAAACATTCTTTAATGAATAGTAGTTGATGAATACATATACAATAAAAACACTGAAGATAGAATGTTAAAGGATATATAAGGTAAGTTCAACAACTTCTGGACACATATATTGTATCAATTCCTTAACCTCTTACTGAATAGTAAAGTATCTTGTATTTCTCTTAAAGTTTCTTACCTGGAATATTCCAGTTAAGTTGACCCTTCTGGTAATTTCCTTAATCAAAACAGGTGCTAGACGCTTGGCTCGAAGCTTTTTGTGCACACACAGGAAGTTGATTTCTACCATTGCTTGTGTACTGGAAAAGTCATAATGAAAGATACTCTTTAACATAAAAACTTTTCTAGCTTTCTAAATTTCTTGATGATAATCTCTCTCAACATGTAAACAATAAGCTTTTGAGACTTTTTATCATTTATCAGAAAACTATAACAGATTCTCCTATGATCCCCCCCCTCCCCCCAAGATAAAGAGTACAGGAGGAAAAGGAGAATCATAATGGCAATAGCATGGACGTGATGCGGGGCATAAGTCACTAGAAAAGGAGTATATCCTCATAATGCAAAAATCACTTACTGGTCATATATCCTGATATGGGCTGGAACGGCAGAGATGAAACCTACTAATCTATTGCTTTTGGTAACCCGCACACCAACATGCCACTGAGGCTTCCAACTGGGTGGCATCAGAGCCCATCGCAGGAATTCTTTACTGTAGTCAAACCTATTAAAAAGGTTTATAGATTAGTAACAATAATACCAATAATATAACAATATAATGAAAAAAACTGTAATATGAATTATTCAATTATAAATATCATTATCAGTAATATTGACAATAATGATGATGAATAAAAATGACAATAACAATCATTATAACAATAATAATAAAATATAATATTAATAATAATAATAATAATAATAACACCAAGAACAACAATAACAATACTTGATTGGCAGATACAATGAAAAGATGAACAGCCAGGCATACTCCTTACCGGAACATGTTATCATCATCCTCCACATAGTTTTCATTTAACAGGTTGTATAAGTTTTGTAACTGAAAAAGAGAATAGATGAAGAAATAAATACTTAAAATTGAATGATATCCATTTGGCATTAACACAACTGGTATAAATCATTAATAACCCATGACTGAATCAACTTCTCAATCAAAATTTCTGAGTTTTATCAAAAACTAGATACATTTTCTTTTTTTTTACTCCTTTTCAATCAGTAAATGAAATGAAGGAGAAAACAAGTAAAAAGAATTGGAAGAGGAAAGGATAGGTAAGGAGGAGGAGGAGGAGGAGGAGGAGGAGGAGGAGGAGGAGGAGGAGGAGGAGGAGGAGGGGGAGGAGGAGGAGTGGGGGAAGGGGAGGAGTGGGAGAAGGGGAGGAGGAGTGGAGAAGGGGAGGAGGAGTAGGGGAAGGGGAGGAGGAAAGGGAAGAAGGGGGAGGAGGAGGAGGCAGAGAAGTAGAACATGAAAAAGGGAAGGTGAGACCTAATGAAGAGTTATAAGATGCCGCACTCACCACATCTTCATTGGTCAGGTCTAGCGTATCCCACTTGAACCCATCAGGTAAATTGTAAGGTTCCTGCTTGATGTCTTCGATCTTCTTATCTGGCTCAATTGCCTCATTCACATTTTCTCCTACTTCTTCATCTAAAAAGTTTTTTTAAAAATTCAATTTTCAATTTTCTCCCCAAATGCACGAGCATTTAGGAAGCTACCACCAACCAAGAATTTCAGGATAATTCTTTCATGCCAAAATAAATGGTCTA